TAGCAGGCCGACGTAGGAACGAGAACTAGAGCGATAATTCCAAATGTAACTTGATATATTCTGAGTACTTCTTTCTTAAGAAGGAAAAACACGACTGAGCCTCTTCCCTACGGTCTCCCCACGACCTAGAAGCTCCTTACCTGTCCACAAATCTTTCCCACGCAGCGGTCCACAGCGAGGTACCTCCTCATTCCCTTCATCCCAGTCCCACTCTAGACGTGGAACGCCGACGTCTGCTCCTCTTGCCCTTGCTTGTAGGATGTAGCCCGTTGACCCTGTAGTGAGCAGACCTTCTGGAGGCAGTCCGCGAGAATAGCGAGACCTCCATCTAGCTGTAGACCGTGACAACCGCCACACTCTGAAGCGTTGCGTAATAGGTTAGTAGGCCAAGACGAAGGACGAGAGTAGAGTGATCGTCTCGGTGCGTTGATGGCAGTTGAAGGTCTCCGCCAGAAGGTCGTAATAGGTGTGAACACGGCGAGTGGCCGACGCACCCATTGTGTGGAGGGTGCCGGAGCCGCAGAGATGCGATCTTTGTGTTGAAAGTGGTAGTTACCAGCGGGTGCGGCGGCATTCGTGGTGGGACTGTGTAAGGAGTGAGGGGTTGTGCACCGTGGCCGAAGGTGAAGGCGCTCACTTTCAAATTGGTAGTGGGGAGGACGAGGCACTTCCTCATCAGTGGTTGAGGACGCACAGCTAAGCTGGGTGTGTTCGAGTTGGCAGTGCAGAGTGACACGTCAGTTCGAGTGGTGTTGGTGACGCCAACAAAAGTGTGTGAGAGAGGAATCCACAACCAACGCGTGCGTGATACAGCGGATTGGGTCTTGGACGGCGCGGTGTGTGGCAGTCGACGCTTCGGACGCTGTGGCCGGAGTCGAGACTGAGAGAACGCTTCGCGTGGGCGCCAAGGACAATGTGTTAAGCAGCGTGACGGAGGGCGAGGTGGATACGTAGAAGTCTTTGCTGACGAACGGAGCATTGCAAGACAATGAGTTAGAGCTAAATACCAGTAGGAAGCACGAACATTCGTGTGTTCCGGCGCAGTTTGCCGAACCTGTACGTGTATTGTGTTGAAGTTGCTTATTATATCCTAAGAACCTGGGGACAACCACCGTAGCGGCAGCACGGGCCATACAACTCGCCGGCAGGCACGCGACAATGGACCTGTTACATTTGTCTCACAGCAAAGAAATGTAATTGCATTCACACTGTAAGTCGTAGGCGACCTAGTTTGCCAAGTTTTACTGGACGATGACGATGACGAGGCAGCGACCAAAAGAGTCAGTCTGCGTTTAAATGATTTTGGTTCACAGTACGTGCTAACAATCAAAACGCCGGTGCAGTTTCACCTCATGGCAGATTATTTAAGCGTTGGTATGTAATTTCGGATGACGATACATATTTTAACCGAGACAAAACAATGAACGTGTTGCATCAATTGGATCGTGTACACCAAAGCTCCATCAAAATATGTGGTCTGAGTACACTCTGAGCTTCTAATAAGATAACGATGTGCTTTACCTACACAGTATCGCCATCCACTGATTATACGTAATATATGATGACCTTCAATGCCTAATCTTATTCCTCTGTCATGCCCAAAACAAAGTATAGATAAATGGAATTCGTCGTGCAACTTGCACGTCGAATGTATTATGCTGTTTGGTAGTATATTCTGATTTTAATTTTAAGGGTCACTTACACTTACAAGTCGTAGCGATGAAAGTTCTTGATGCTCGTGTGGAGGAGGTCCTTGGAAATACTACTGCTGGTGCGACAAAGTACGTGTATCTCCGAGCTCTTACTCGTTTTATCAAGTGGCTTTACGAGACATCAGATGAGGACCGCCGCCAGTCACTTTTTGCGATCTCGCTTTGTGACATCGAGACGATTAATGCAGACACAATTGCGGAGTGGTTTGCCAGGCCTCCTGTAGTGAGTCCAATAGACTTAAGTACGCTAACAACGCAATAGTGCATGCGCTACCTCACTTCGATGGAACAACGTGGTGTGACTGGGAAGTCTACCTTTGGCATAGCAGCGCCTCCGTATTACTATGGACGTAGTATTTCCTGGTGTACCACCAAGTTTAAGGATGATTTGCCAATTCGGCCTAGCCTCGTTATTGTATCACAGTTCCTACTTGCGGGCTGAGTTGCCTCCAAATCATTTATTATTTATGACACTTTTGTTTTCAACATCCGCTCAAAATCAACTTGGCTGGTTGCGTCAGCGCGTATTCTGCCGGAATTATCAAGAAAATGATCCCATCGCACAATCTGGTATTCCACCTCATGTCGGAATTATGGTCACCTTAGCTCAGTATAAGACAGAAGTTGACAAAATGCACCAAAGTATGGCTGAAACTATTGAACGCATACTTCAACGGCACATACGTGGATCCATAATGACACTGGAGGCTTTGGAATCGGCGTTCGAAGCCCTTCTTGCGCGTTCAGCGCTCTCAGTCATGAATGAAGTCGCCCCGGCTACAGCGGTTGCGCAAGTCCCTGCTACTGGTACCAGCTTGGTGACCCCACAATGTGAACTCTACATGTGGGCTGGCAGTTTCCATCGCGT